TCTCTTCTCTGCCGGAGACCTCTCCTACACAACCTAGGCCCAGCCTACCCCCTCTTTGCATAGTGCATCGACCCCTCGTGCGTGTACGAAACTGTCCCGGACCCGACCCGGACAGTAGTTACTGTTGTGTCCGGATCATCCCCAAACGTCTGCAAAACATCACCGTTTTCTTTTTTGGACTCCCTAACTATTTTATCCGGAATCGTCCGATTGCGATCGTAGGGCCGAGATAGCCCCTAACCTAATCCATGATGTATATTTATAGTCCACCCCTAGTCTAATTTCAGACCAAATCCCTAAATTCTAGGGATCCTCCCAGCCGCCGCCGCCGCCGCACTCATTCCCCAACATCGGGATCCCCATCGCTCGAACCAAATCCATCTCCTCCTCGTTTTCACCACAAACCCAACCAGCGAGCTCCTCCTCCTCTCGATCCATCCCCACGCCCCTCCGCGGTTGGGCCCGAGCAGGATCACCCAGAGTCGCAGCTCGTCCGTGAGCAGCTCTGCCGCCATCAGGCTAGGACCTTCCCGTCGCTCCTCCTCGCTCCTGTTTCTTCTCGTTGCCTCCTGCCTCTCCCCGTAACTCTCTCTCTCTCCCTCGCCTTGGGCAGGGGAACCAAAGGAAGCCGCCACCGCCTGGAGCTCCAAGTCCGCTGGCTTGCCTCCACTTCGATCCGGCAGGGAATGAGAGCCCGACGACCTCCATGCCCGGATCCAGCCACCTCCTGCCGCCGTTCACCTCGCCCTGCGCCTCAAGTTCCTCCCGCCGGAGCCCCAAGTCCACCTCGTCCACGCGAAGTCCCCTGCCGCCATGGCCGCCCGGGAACATGGAGATCCGCCGCCGTCCTGCCGTTCCCCTTCGACGATGGAGCTCCCCGCTGCCAAGTCCAGGACCCCGTCGCTGCGCTACCTCCGTTCGAGAGGAGGACGACGAAGCCGCGCCCCGCGTTGACTCCTCGTCGCGTGGATCCAGCTGGGCCTCGTCCCGATCCCAAGTCCAGCGCCCTCCTGGCGCGTCTCGCTTCGTGGCCCAGCGCTACAGATCCGGCCTGCTTGTCCACACCCCCTGGGCCGCCTCCTCACGCACCTCCACGTGGGCCATGCCCCGAACGGCCCAGGTCTGCACACAAAGCCCAGCCCGCCTCCGGCCTCATCCGATCTGGGCTGAGCCCAGCTGGGTGAGCAGCCCCAGCCTCCCCTGTGCACCTTTGGGCCAACTAGTTTCAGCCCATTGTGTTTTTTTCCTGCTGCTGCAATTTAGCTATTTTTCTAGAAAACTGTTGTTTTACAGAAAAGTCCCTAGACAACATGCATATAATAACTCACAAACCGTGCATCGGATTAAAACAAACTTAATATGGAAGTTGCTTAGAATTTTGTCTAGTTTCATAATATGTCTTTTTCATCCATGTTTAAATTGCTTAAAATGTTGTTTGCTTAAATTTGCTCCTATGCCATGTTAAAATGCTTTATTTCATAACTAAATAACCGTAACTCCGAATTTAATAAACTTTATATGTAAATGGGGTGGAAAATGCCTAGTTTAACATGGTGGCCTTACTTGGCATGTTTAACAACTCTAAAATATGGTTTAGGGCAGAACAATACCAAACCTTAAAATATGCATATGGAGTTTTACCGAAATTGTTGTTCGTTGTTTCCGGCCTCATTTAAACTTGCCTAGATAGGTAGTTTTGTTGTGCTTCACCCCTTGCCATGTTAATCAACATTTAATATTGTTGGGTACATAAACGAGATCGAACTAAATAACTTGTCGTGGTGTTTCGTCAATATGCACCGTTGCATATTGAGCTCCACTTAATTTGTAGGATTGCTTGTGCACTTTTGCCATGACATGCTTCATTAAACCGGACATGCATCATACTTGGTTGTGCATCATGCCATGTTCATGTGTTGGTTGTTTACTATGTTGTTTGCTTCTTTC